CTTTATGTATATGGGTGTTTCCACGTTGGGTGCATAAATATTTACAAATGTTATATCTTCTTGTTTGATTGTTCCCTTTATCATTATGTAGTATCCTTTTTGTCTCCTGTTAAAGTCTTTTTTTAAAGTCTATTTTGTTTGATATAAGTATTCTACCCCAGCTTTGTTTTTGCTTCCATTTTCATCACAAATGTTTTTCCAACCCTTCACTTTCAATCTACATGTGTTTAGGTCTGAAGTGAGTCTTTTGTTGTCTTCACCTTCTTAAGCATCTGGTGTATTTGATCTACGAAACCATATCAGCTTTTAAATTTTTATTTATTTTTATTTATTTAATTTATTTGAAACAACATGTAACCCTGTAAGTTAATTATATTGGAAAAACAAACAAATAATACTAGCTTTTGCGCTGAGACTCTTTTGAAGAATTAATATAAAATTGGATTCCCCCATTGCATGCCCATTTAGTTATTCTTTGATTTTCAGCCATTATTTCTCTTTCTCTCCATTTGTATAGAACTAGTGGGCTATCTCTACCACTAGGCAGTATAGCTGCACTCACATTTAACCCCAAATTTGCCAGATGGAGTGAAAGCACAACCTACTCCATCAGGTCCTTAGAAATATAGACATGAAGGTTAAAACAGCCTAGGAATCATCTCTGCTTCTGATATTGTAATTGTATCCTTTGTCCTGTGACCACTGTATCAAGTTAAGAAGAACATTGAGGTGATGTGGGGAAGAAAGAAAAAAGCATAGGTATCATACCAATATTCTCCCACTGTGGGAAAAATTGCATAGTCATACTAGCATCCTCTTCACCACCTGTTCCCTATTTCCACTGAAATTGTAGAGGAATTTATCTAGTATGGACACACTCTTTGTTCACTTCATGTTGAATGTGAGTACACACTCATGAAGGCGTGTAAGCTAGTTTTTCATGCCTATATTCCCTCTCTTCTCATTTTAGACAGTCATTGTTTTTTTGCCCATTCTAATTACCAAACCACTACTCTCAGAAACTATATCTCTGCCCATTGTTGGACATGATGAGCTGTAAAGTGTGTTCCTTCCTTGGTCGGAAGGAATTACACTCAATGGTCCATATCTGTGTAATATCTTCTCCACTTCTTTTATAGTACTCTGAGCATTTGCATCTACCACTGGGTCAGCAAAGCACAACCCAGAGTCAGTATCTATTTCTGTCAGGACCCACTTGTAGCCCTCCAGGGTTACAGGCATCAATCTGACTTGCCTTCTATGTACAAGGATTCCCTCCCACCCTAGGAATCTTCCCCATAGCCATCTGCAGCCTCTAAATCTGTCTTGTTGGCAGACAAAACAGTTCTTGTTGTCATTTTGTGCCTCGGAGGGTACAAAAGGAATATGTCTAGATTTGGCCCATCCCTGCATTGTTTCAGTCCACTCCCTTCATTAACCCAAGTGGCTACCTCAAGTGAGCACACCAGGGTATCTGCTCATTGATTCTAATCATCTTCTGATGCTGGAAGGGGGTTCTTCTGATGGGCACTGACATGGCCCACTTTAATGCACCCTTCAGATTCCCATAGTGATTTTGCATGGGGCCATGCCCAGTAAGGGCACCCCCCTTTATAGGCTAACCTTCCATTGCCCTTTTGCCTGACCATAAGGGTAAACAGCATGCAGTGCAGCTCACCAGCCCCATTTGTTTTACCTTTTTTAGTCAGAGTGGTGGCTTTCCAAACAGCATGTTGTGTGTTCATGATGAAACTGCCGTCTATCAGCCGAGCAGCTATTTGTTAAGAGATCGTTGAGCTGTTCACGGGGCTTTGCCCGTTCAAGTGATTAGATCCTGCAGCTCTTCACATGGTTCCAGAGTCATTCCTGGGGAAAAGAGTCCACCTGCTCAGGAATATGCTGTGTAACTCTGTGCATTCCCCTACTGGTGTGTTCCTGCACAAACCATTTCCATTTTGTTATAGAACTCTTCTGGGCACTGCCTTCCTCATTAGTGTTTGTCTGATATCACCCAAGACATCCTGGATATTTCAGGTTTCAGGATTATTTTATGTTCTTCATTCAGAGGCAGTTTCAATTAGTGTCTGATAGCAAGCTAGTAATTGCTCCTCCAAGTGGAAATTGTCTAGTTCAGAGTTCTAGTAGCTGCCACTGGGAGGTGCTCACAGGCTTTTGTCATAAGCTCCGGTCTATACTCCACATGAGACTGCTGTACGGGGAATGTATCTTTATTAGCACTCCAGCTTCTATTCTATACTATTTGATATTAAAGGCCTGTATGTATCCAGGCATTGGTTTCTGTTTTGTATGTCTTGTTAACATTGTTTAAGTGGTAGATTTTCCATGCCTTTTGTTTTGCAATACTTGATAGGGGAAACTTTCTCCAGTTAGGTGCAATATCTATCCCTATAATATATTCAGGTAAAGGAGACACAACCACTTCACATAAAGCTTCTTCGATATACCATTTTTCATTTAAACATTCAACTTAATCCCATTAGTTCTTGCATTTCTCTATCCTCTCAATGTAATTGACTTCCGGTAGGGCTTAACAGGTTTTAGTTTTACAACACTAGGTAGCAGAAATATTCCCAAGTCAGACATAATATCCCAGTCCCATTAAACATTCAGGTAAGGGAGACACAGCCTCTTCATATAATTCTTGTTTAAACACTCCAATGTTCATTCAGACTTCACCTTAACCATATTAACCCTTGCTTTCCTATGTTCTCTCAATTTAATTGTATTTCCCATTAGAACTTCACCAGTGGGTTTTGGTACCATAGTGCATTGGACTCTCATATCAAGGAGTCCTAGAAACTTCTCTGTTCTGCCCCTGGCCATTTTGCCCACTCCTGTGCATAAGACCTTGGTCCCCAATAGAGTTTTGAGCCAAGGAACTGGTCCTTTTGATCAACCCATATATTGATTAAATTGAGTAACCCCAGACAATTGGAGGTGAGGTTTTTCTTTGCTATTTTGCCATAATACAGCTTTCCAGATTCCTCCAAACTAGGATGAATAAAGCAGATTTGTTTAAAGGCCTTCAATGTTGGGAGACCAACATGAACATGGACTCCCTTTGGTTCACCCAACCTCTGGTTTTTGACCCCACCGATGTTTGCTGTATTCATCCTATTTTTTAGTTTTTGACCCTGCTGGAATGAGGGCCTTGATGGTCCTATCTCTAATATGCCTTATCTCTAATGTTCCTTTCTGTCATTGTCTAATTATTTTAGCCTTTTTTATAATTTGTTTTAGCATAACTTTCTCCTTGGGAAATGGCTCTGAGGATAGTGGCTGTACCTCAGGCTGACCAGAATCAGGATCTTCTCGAACACATTCCTTCAGTGGGGGCCCTGATACTAGAGGCTGTATTTGAGAGTGGCCAGAATCTATATTTGACCCATCTCTTACTTTCATTTTACCTATTAGATATTATAATAACTATGGGACTGTATATTTTTCTCTTTTCTTATTATTTTGCACTTTCTTATGCATCTAGTGAGCCAGCTCCCCCAGGAGATGGATCCATCATCTCAAATTCCATAGGTGACTTTTAACTTCTCACAGCTAATTGCAACTTAGCTGTTGTTTCATACCATGGGTCACCTTGTGGCTTCTAATAGTCAGACATTCCTCATCCCCATTCTTTCATTCTTTCTCTTCCCAAGCCACATGTTTGTTTTTTAATATTTTATTTTTGAAGGAGAGAGAGAGTCAGAGCATGAGCGGGGGGAGGAGCAGAGAGAGAGGGAGACACAGAATCTGAAGCAAGCTCCAGGCTCTAAGCTGTCAGCACAGAGCCTGACACGGGGCTCGAACTCATGAACCATGAGATCATGACCTGAGCCAAAGTCGGACACTTAACTGACTGAGCCACCCAGGTGCCCCAAGCCACATGTTTTTATGAGTTAGGGTTGGTGTAGTGAATCCTACCCTTCCAGACACCAACTATTCCATTTTTACCTTAACTGAGTGTATTACAATTAGTTTCTCATACTAATAACCTGGAGTTAACCCAGACTCAAAAGCTTAAAGGCAAAATTTTCCTCAAGACTGCCCTCACTTTGGACACTAGCCACAAGTCTCAGGGAATCCTCAGGCCACCCATTTTGCTGACTGACTGGCTACAAATTCAGGGAGTCCTATGACCCCTTCAAATTGGATAATTTGCTAAAATGACTCACAGGTATCAGGAAGGTGCTATGCATAGAATTATAGTTTTATTACAAAGGATACACACAGGATGAGGCCTGGGAAGGAACACAGAACTCCTGTGCCCTCTCATGGAGTCAGGGTACATCACCCTCCCAGTATATCAATATTGTCACCGATGAGGAAGCAACACTGAGTTTTTATGGGATTTTATTACATGGGCATGATTAATTAAATTATTAGCCACATTGATTGAACTCAACTTCCAGCCCCCTCCCACACACCAAATTCTGAAGCTGTCTAGGGCCCACCAAGAGTCTCCCCATTAGCATAACTAGGACATTCCTGTCACTCAGGATATTCCAAGGGTTGTTGAAGCTTCCTGCCAGGAACACAGGACAAAAACCGGGCAAATTACTAATTACACCACAGTAGTATACTGACCACAGGGAACGGAACAGTGCATAACACCTTGCCTAGTATTATAGTAGGCACTTGACACATTTTTCTTTTGTAAAATATGATTGTCTATGATCTTATATTCGTCTGTATCAGAGTTCTGAAAATTAAAAATTACATCTAGATTTGGACTTTCCATGGTCAATCCTGTGGAGAAGTGAAGCCATACCATTAATAACTATTCTAATTAGGGAATGTATGTTTAGGAAGAAGTATTCTAAGAAATATGACCCTGTTAATAAGTAGGAATTTAATGCTGCTGCTCTTCTATTCTGATAGATACTGTATGGTCCAAAGAGTTAAATAATTTCTCATTAGGATTAAAGTTTACCAATAAAAATTCTAATATAATATACTAACTAATGCTTTACTTTTTTTTCAAGTAATCTTCCTTTTTGAGGCATCAACTGGAAAACCATTAGGTGACGGGAAGCTTCTTTCTCATAAGGTAATGGACATTAGCTATTTCTAAAGTTAATTAGCCACTATTTACTTCCTTTTTTAAATTTAATGTTTTCATTTTAAGGAAAATAAAACATAGAAATTAGTCTTATATTTAAATCTGGTATGCATTCTACATAGAGTATTTTGCCTAAAAAATGTCATAAAGACTAAGCACTAGTAAACTCTGTAATAGAAAACTAATTGCAAATTAATTGGATAAAAGAATCTGACTTACATGTCTATTTTTCAGGCTCTTTACTGCTTTTTAATAAAATGTCCCATCTTGATTAAACTTTTAGCACCTATCAGTATATAAAAATGTTTTTATATTTCTAAACATCTTGCAGTTTTCTCATTGACCTGTCCTTAGCCAGCATTTTCTTTAGGTTTTAACACTGTAGTTAAACTGGAAAAAAAGTTCCATAGAAGTACGAAAAGACCCCAAATTGTGAATTGCTTATTGGTTTCTGATTTTTAGCATTAAAATAAACAAAGGACGGTGGCACCTGGGTGGCTCAGTCGGTTAAGTGTCCAACTTCAGCTCAGGTCATGATCTCACAGACTGTGAGTTCAAGCCCCACATTAGGCTCTGTGCTGACAACTCAGAGCCTGGAGCCTCCTTCAGATTCTGTGTCTCCCTCTCTCTCTGCCCCTACCCTGCTCGCACTCTGTCTCTCTCAAAATAAAGTAAAGACATTAAAAAAATTAAAATAAACAAAGGAGGGGCATCTGGGTGGCTCAGTTAGTTAAGCCTCCAACTTTGGCTCAGGTCATGATCTCACAATTTGTGAGTTCAAGCCTTACTTCGGGTTCTGTGCTGACAGCTCAGAGCCTGAAGCCTGCTTTAGATTTTGTGTCTCCCTCTTTCTCTGCCCCTCCCCCACTCATACTCTGTCTCTCTTCTCTCAAAAATAAATAAACATGAAAAAAATTTTTAAATAAAGTAAATAAAGGAACACATTTTATTTATTCTAGTAAGAGATATATTTGGGTCTAAAGATGTTTTTAACTTTATTGTTCAATGCCACTAGTGAAGCCTGACTATATATTTTTTCTAATTTTTGTAATTATTAGTTTTAAATTTGAATAACAAATAAATTCAAAAGGTTTAGAAATGAAAAATTACAGAAAAGTATACAGTGAAAAAGTCTCCCTCCTACACCCCTTTTTGTCAATCCAATTCCATTTAATTATTATTAAACTCCCTTTTCCTTTCAGAGATTTTTAGTGCATATACAAACAAAATTGATATATGTTTTTAACTCCTTTTTTACGAAAATGTAACATACAAGTCTGTACATTGCTTTTCTCACACAACACTATTTCTGGTGATCTTTCTATATCAATATATGAAGTGTTTTCCTAATCCTTTTCCCACAACCATACAGCGTAACATTTTATGGATGTATCTGAATTTATTCAACATGTGCTCAAATGATGGACATTTAAGGTACTATCATAACACCTTCAAAAAACAAAACAAATCCTAGCAAGTGTAAAAAAAATTTTTTTTTAAAGTCTTAGCAAGTCTTAAGACATAGTAAGCAGTAAATAAATCCCTCTTGGATTTAGTTGAAATGAATCCACACTGAACCATTTCCAAGTTATAAAGAAATTCATTTCAGTAGCTAGTATAATAGTGTAATAGATTAACGTCATATGCCAGAAATACTTTGTTATGTGGACAAAAATACTAATCTTAAAGTCAGAAATCTGGACTTTAAATTCTAAATATGCTTGTTACCAGCTTTTTCTGAGCAAAATCACTTACTGGCTATGCATCTCAGTCTTTTTGTCCGTAAAGTAAGTATGGTGATACCTATAGCACTAGGTTGTTTCCTGTTTCACAGGAAATAAATGTGAGAGAATCTATAAAATTTAAGTGTCTAAAACATGAGATATTTTCATAAATGTATTCTTATAAATCTTTAAAATACAGGCTCTTAGAGTACATTTTGTTATGGAACATAAATGTAATTAGTAGATCTCTCTTGTGATATTCAGACTTGCCTCACCCTTTCACTTTGTCTAGTAAAGGTGGGACGGGAGGACAAAAGTATTTCTCAGCTTCCAGAGTTTCAAAAATATATACATTATATTATAGTGTTTTAAGGGGCATCATTCCCCTGTAAATTAAAAAAAAAGTAACTGTGCTTTAGCTTATGAATTAAATCAGTAGTTTAAAATTATTTATCAGGGACAGTTTATCATTCTAAGTAAGGGAGTGATATTTAATTGATCTTTAAATAAACACATTTTTATAATTAAATAATTTAAATGATCTGATATCAAGCACTAAAACTAATCCAATATTTTCATTTTTTCTAAATTTTAGAATGAAATTTTGGAAATTGCTCTGGATCAAAAAGGACTTACCAATGACAGAAAAATTGCCTTCATTGATAAAAATAGAGATCTCTATATCACCTCAGTGAAACGATTTGGGAAGGAAGAACAAATTATCAAACTTGGTAAAATAATTATAATACATTTAAATTTTTGATTGCTTGAATTAATCTCTGAATAATGCATTGAAAGAAAGACTTGCAAATTAAAAACATGATGGTTCTAGGTAAAATATTCAAATATTCCCATAAATTTTTAAGTGAATTTTTGCAAATGTTTTCACCATTATACAATCAGAAAATAGAGTCATACCTACCAGAAATTAGATGGGGTCCCGTGTGTCAGTTGATTTTTAAAATATTTTAATACTTATTATAGTGGAACTAATCGTACATTAACATTCTTTTTAAAATAAGGAACAATGGTGCATACTTTGGCATGGAGTGATACATGCAATATCCTTTGTGGACTTCAGGATACTCGATTTACAGTGTGGTACTACCCCAATACAGTTTATGTCGACAGAGACATTTTGCCTAAAACATTATATGAAAGGGATGCAAGGTAACTGCATTTACTGTTGGAATTGTTTATAGTGATAAATAACTCTAAAGTGTCATGTTTTTGCCTTTAATGTCAATCCTGAAAGGTACCTTTCACTCTGCCAAATTGTTCAGCTAAAGCTAGCTTGATGAGATTTAAGTTTGGGGGTCAAGTTGAAAGTGTTGTATAATACTATTATATTTATTTGTTCCTTCTATGGATATAATTTTCCCTACATAAATATAATTTTCAAGCCTAATGTTTCAAGCCTAATGTAAAAAAACTCAGGTGTTTTTTTTTTTTCAGTGTGGTTTAGTGATTTTAATATGGACATTTTAAAGATTTTTCAGTGGTACGTAACGTGTCAATCTTTCTTCTTTTTCAGATTATCATAAATTATTAATTATTGTCGTACTTTCAGGAATTTATGTGTCTCTAGAATTGAATTTCTAAGTTAGTATTAAAGATAGAAAAGTATATAAGGTTACTGAAGAGTCTTTTTTTTAAATTTTATATGCTTCAGAAAATACATGTATATTCCTAAATTCTCTAGGAAATAGCAAGATCTCTCACTCTTGACAAAATAAGAATACAAAACTTCTCAACTCCAAAACTTAGCTTAACTTTCAAATCTATTTTGAGTTCATTTAATATTCAATTCACAACTTTAGCAAAACCAGAGAAGCATCATTTTAAAAGTATTTAAACTAATGAAGTTAGTCACTTTACTTCAAGTTCACCTCTTTTTATTATCAGAAAATAATCTTAGAATCAGCTTAATTTTCTATTCATTTATACTTTCAAAAACTGAAGCTGTTTTTTAATCATTTGTATAATTTACCTTAAGACTTAGGGAAAAAATTTTATTTCAAATGCTTTTAGGCATAGCTCCCAAATAATTTTTGCTGCATTAAACTTTTATATTTTGCTCCAACTGGAGCAAGTTAGATTCAAATGTTTATTTAAATATATACATTCTCCCTGAAGTTAACTTTTTTGGGAGTGAATTTTAGAGATTTGGAGACTTTATATCTGTGTCAAGTGTAAACTCCCCTAATTAGTATATGAAAGATTTTGCTCAGAATATAAATTATACTTTGCTTTTTCCCAACAGTGAATTTAGTAAAAATCCCCATATTGTGAGTTTTGTTGGAAATCAGGTAACTATAAGAAGAGCTGATGGCTCACTGATTCACATCAGCATATCACCATATCCTGGTATTCTCCATGAATATGTAAGCAGTTCAAAATGGGAAGATGGTGTAAGACTTTGTCGTTTTGTTAAGGTACTTTATGTTATTTTAGATCCATGTTTGTGTATATATTGTGTATTTACACATATCTTTGTGTAGGATAAGAAATGGTAACAGCTGGGCACCTGGGTGGCTCAGTAGGTTAAGCATCAGACTTTAGCTCAGGTCATGATTTCATGGTTCATGAGTTTGAGCCCCACATTGGGATCTGCACTGACAGTGGGGAACCTGCCTGGGATTCTTTCTCTCTCCCTCTCTCTCTGCTCCTCCCCACTCACTCGCAATCTCTCTCTCTCTCTTTCTCAAAATAAATAAATAACCATTAAAAAAAAAGAAATGGTAACAGCTAAGGGCTGGAAAATTGCAAATGAGATCATGTCTTTTTTTTTTTTTTTTTTTTTAATAAGTGAAGACATGAGCAACACAGGGGGGTAGATATTGCTGTGTGATTTACTCTTAAAGAAGCTATAATTTAAATGAGTAGTTTCTCTATACTGGCACATATAGAAATCTTCTCTGGAACTTTTTTTAAAAAAAGTCAGATTCCCAAGTTTTATCCCAAGAGAGCTTCTAATTTATTAGATCTGGAATGAACCCTGGGCATATTTTTAAAATTCCTCAGATGATTTGTACACCTAAGGTTAAGAACCTCTACTTTAATTTTTTTTTAAAGTTTGTTCATTTTTGAGAGATAGACAAAGCATGAGTGGGGAAGGGGCAGAGAGAGGGAGACACAGAATCTGAAGCAGGCTCCAGGCTCTGAGCTGTCAGCACAGAGCCCGACATGGGGCTTGAACTAACGAACTGCGAGATGATGACCTGAGCCGAAGTCGTATGCTCAACCCAACCGACTGAGCCACCCAGGTGCCCCTAGAACCTCTACTTTAGACCAGCATTTCCCACTTGGTTGAATCTACTTGGTTGAATCCAGTATTTTCCAAACATATTTGACCACAGAACTTTTTTAAAAATTTTTTTTTTTTTTACATTTTTATTTATTTTTGAGAGACAGAGAGAGACAGAGCACAAGGGGGAGGGTCAGAGAGAGAATGACACACAGAATCCGAAGCAGGTTCCAGGCTCCGAGCTGTCAGCACAGACCCCAAGGCGGGACCTGAACTCACAAACTGCAAAATCATGACCTGAGCTGAAGTTGGATGCTCAACCAACTGAGCCACTCAGGTGCCCCTGACCCCAGAACTTTTTAATTTTACATGGGTTAGCATTGCTTAAAATAATACTTTTAAAATGACCTTTAGATGCTTTCCCTTACAATGAGTCGTTGATAGAAATCTGCTGTAATAGCATTGTCTGAGAACCTCACTATTTCTCTGGCTCCTTGTAAGTTACATTCTTTGACCTCATCAGAAATACTGGAGGGTTTATAACCTTAAATTATCTTAAAAGTGTATCATAAGTTCAAAAATAAATCTTTGATAATTAGAAATGAAATTTTGTAATAATTTGTATTCAAAAGAAGTTCTCTGTGTTATTAATATATTTCAACAAAGTACCCACGTGAAATTTCCACATGATTAATTTATTAAATTAGTTTTTTCAGTGCCATGCTCAACAATTTTTAATTTTTTCATTAAAATGTTAACTTTTATATATTTTAAGTCACTGTTTATTTTAAGGCAGTTCTGCTTCTAGTTGAAATAATTGTTCTCCTATTTCACTTTAGGAGCAAACCATGTGGGCTTGCCTAGCTGCTATGGCAGTTGCTAATAGAGATATGACTACCGCAGAAATAGCCTATGCAGCAATTGGTGAAGTAAATAATGTTTACTTACCTATATGTTTGCAGTTTTTCTTCCCTTTCTGTTACTCTACTTCATATATTTTTTCTTTTTTTAGATTGATAAGGTTCAGTACATCAATTCTATAAAAGATCTTCCATCTAAAGAATCAAAAATGGCTCACATACTAATGTTTAGTGGGAACATACAGGAGGCTGAAATGGTACTTCTTCAGGCTGGCCTTGTTTATCAAGCGATCCAGATCAATATTAATCTCTATAACTGGGAAAGGTAATAAAAATGTTCTTCACCAATTCTAAAACCCATTGATCTTAATGGTTTCTTCTATCTACCACTTGGTAAATTACGTTTTCCACTGTACTTAATAGTTTCCTAACATCACAGAAGAATTTATTCACATTTATATTTGTGAATAGTTTGCCATTGAAGATTTATGCCTTTGCTAAACTTGTGATTGACTGAAGTTGAGGTGTGAAGAAGAAAAGAGAATCTAGGATGTCTTCCAATTTTCTGATTTCAATAACTCAGATTGAATGAGTTATTCAATAACTAAGATTGAATTACTACCAATAGATGATGGTAGTAATATTGGCAGGTTTGGAAGGCAATATAGTGAGTTCAGTGTTAGGCATGTTGGATTTGAAATTTTGTGAAGAGATATGTGATAATAGTTGATTAATGAACCCGGAGCTCATGAGCAAGATTTGAACTAGAGATGTAGATTTAGCAGCCATTAGCCAAGTGGAGGGCAGTTGAAGAAAAAAGAATGGACACAATTGCTCAGGAAATGTGTGGAGTGAGAAGATATCAACTACGTTTATGGGTTGGGTGAAAGAAAAGAAATCTGTTGAAAGATTTGAATAAAGCAGTCAAACAGGCAGAGAGAAGAGCCATGAGAAATTTGTGTTGCTAAGGAAGAAAGGCCATCAGATTTGAAATGAGGAGTGCTCAGTAGTAGCCTTCTCCTCTACATGAGGCTTTGACACATTGCTTTCTGAGAGTGAGTGGCACACTGCTCTTTGCTGTGGCATATCAGGTATATCTCCTCATTCTCTCAGGTATTCATCTCTCAGGGAAGAGGCTGCAGTGCTTATACACACCTGAAGTTACTATGTTATAAAATTGGCATGCTGACTTTTTCAGGTTTGACATGTCTTTCATCCCTTTTATCTATCTACCTCTACCCTACCATTTGTTAATAAGCAGATCCCAGTCATCATATCACTTTATTTATAAGTATTTCAGTATGTATCTCAAGGTTTTTAAAAATCTAACCACAATATCACAGTCACACTTTAAAGAATTAACAGTAATTCCTTTCGGTGTTCTTATTTCTCTGATCATCTCATAAATGTTTTGTTTTGTTTTATGGTTTGTTTGTTTGATTCAAGATCCAAAAAAATTTCCATACATTATGACTCCTAGATATGTTCTTTTCTTTTAATCTATAGGTTTTCCTATTTCTTATGTTTTCTTATAATTTTCCCACTACAGAAACTGGGCCTTTAGAGTTTCCTATAATCTGGATTTTGCTGATTGCATCTCTGTGGTGTCATTTGACACGTTCCTTTGCCGCTTGAATTAACCATAAATTGGTGTTGAATCTAGAAACTTGATTAGATTTAGGTTTAATATTTTTTTTCCCCTTTTGGGAACACCTCGTATCACAGAGGTAGTGTTGAATATATTTTCACAATGACTGGTTGTCTTTCTTTTTGTGATGTTAGCAGCCATTAATAATCATTGCCCAGATCCATTAATTAATTAAAATACTGGAAGGATAGAATTTAAGTATCGGATGACAAATATATTAGACTTCTTTTAAGATCCCTGAATTTCTATATTTGTTTAAATCCTTTAGAAGGGAGCACATTTCATTTTGTTAATATGTTTATTCCATTTGAGAAGCAGTCTTGCTGATTTGTGCTTCTGTTATTCATATTTGAATTTGAAAATTACCTGCAACCTAATAAGTTGCAGCCCTTGAAAAGTTGTAGGTAAGCAGGTCATCTACTTGATGTTCACTTTGGACATTTGGTAGTAATCTGTTCTCAAAAATGGAAGTTAAGAGAGATAGACACTAGAAACTTTATGTATTAATAAAAAACGATTTCTCTGTTTCTACCAGTTATATAAAGTGATTTTGCTTCATTAAAGTTATGTAAAAGATCATATTTTGAAGTTACAAAATCTTTTTATATAACTTCCTTCTATTTAAAATCAGAGAGGATACATGGATTTATTCCAGCCCCATAATCTAATGTCACATTTGTTTGGTTGCCAAATAACCATTTTAAAGCTAAAGACATGCTGTTCCCATAACCCTTATATAATTTGGAGTGAATTTCCTTCTCTGTGTGATAAAGAAACATTTCTTACCCAGTGTATGCTTTTAGAGAACATTTAAAATAGCATATATAATTTGAATGTTTACCTTTAGCTATTGCTCTTCAATCAGATAATTAATACATATTTTATATAATGATAATGACTATAATATAGATAATACTTAGCATCTAGTATCTAAATGTGGTATTAGACATTATATTTTATCCTTCATACATAATTAAATGTACTAATGTTCCATGACAATGATCTCTTTGGAGATAATTTTCTTTTTGAAAAGTCCCAACCGAAAAATGGTTACGTATTCCCCACTTGGAATACTTCTAGTTTTGTACAATCAAAAATTCCTTCCCCAGTCATGTTCAGTCATAAAAAAGGAATGGGAAATGGCATTTTTCAGGTGCCAGAGGACTGGTTCACCAGAGTCTCCACTCACACATCCACACTGGAGTCAGAGCCTTAGGGATATATGGAGGGTGATATGGGAGAGGATTAGAAGGATTAAAACATCATGGGGCGCCTGGATGGCTCAGATCATTGAGCATCTGACTTCGGCTCAGGTCATGATTTTATGGCTGGTGAGTTCGAGCCCCGTGTCGGGCTCTGTGCTGACACCTCGGAGCCTGGAGCCTGCTTCAGATTCTGTGTCTCCCTCTCTCTCTGCGCCTCCCCTACTCGCACTCTGTCTCTCTCTCTCGAAAATAAATAAAAACATTTTAAAAATTAAAAAAAGAAGGATTAAAGCATCTTTACTTCTATTTCTCCTCTTTTGATACTCCATAAATTGGTTTTTGCCTTCTTGCATTTCACTTGTTTCTCTAAATTGCAGTACTTCTACATTCTTCTCTGTGTCCCTCTTTTTCTCTGAAAGACTTAAAGTCACAGAGGAATGAGGGAACTTTGTGAGGAGATTGTAATGGGTAGCAAATACTGATCCATGGATTTAGCAATATGTACATATACTTTTATAAGAAATCATTGTGCTGAATTTTGGCATTATCATTTGTATTACACCTGACTTAAATTCATAACTTTTTATATTGTCTTAATATTTCTCTCGGTTTTCTATCAACTGTCAATTAATATACACAGCATATCTAAGATACTTAAAACAATTTTTTTTAGTGTTTATTTTTGAAGGAGAGAGCGACAGAGCATGAGCAGGGGAGGAGCAGAGAGAAAGGGAGACACTGAATTCAAAGTGGGCTCCAGGCTCTGAACTGTCAGCACAGAGCCCTGACCTGAGCGGAAATCGGGCGTTTAACCAACTGAGCCACCCAGGCACCCCTAAAATACTTTTTAAAGTGACTATTTAGGTCAAACCAAAGCATGCTAAAAATGAAACATTTTCCTACTGAAGGGTCACATGTTGCAAAAATCTAGTCAGTAGTCAGTATTGTCTAAACGACAGATTTACAGTATTTGGCTCTGATACATAAATCATGACTGGCCTATTCAGAAGTCATATATCATATGAGAAAACAAGGGAACTTGAAAAAGGATATACTTTAGCTATTATGATGGCCATTTCCCATACTTTAAAACAAGATTATAGTGAACAGTGTAGGAGAGCTATACTATACTGGATTTTTCCTGACTCAACTCATACGAGTTATGCACAAGATCATGGGCTGAGATACTGTCCAAAACCTACATACACAAATAGGCCAAGAACTGAAGATTAATCTTTTCATTTCCCTCGAAATTATCAATACATAGATTTTATGTCTTTGTGTACCACTGATTTTAGCAATTAATTTAGTTCTTGCCTGCTATTTAAATAAAATATTACCTTGAAAATAAGTTACATTGAAAGATATTAATTGGATTATAAAATTTAAATGGGTATTAACTTATTCTAAGAATCAAATGGCAAAAGATTTTGTCAGATTTTTATTATCCACAAATTTTAGTTTTATAATATTTTAAATTTGCTGTGTTATAACATAAAGGATATCAGTATTTATTTGAATATTGACCAGAATACATTCTAGACTGTAGATAAATAAATTCTGGAGCAGAATAAATTATAGACTTAAAAAAATTGTCAAGATAGTGGAACCACTTACACTGGCGGGGGGGGGGGGGGGGAGTTCATTCACTTGAATTTTATTATGATTTCAATTAATTTTTCAATGAACATTTACCATACATAGACTATGGTATACTCACCAAAGAGAAATGAAACCTAGGTCTCCCTTCAGTTAATGTACAGGTTATGGAAGAAACAGATTCGTAAATAATTAAAATATCTGTAAGCAGTGCTGTCATAATAGTATGCATAAAAGGTCATGGAGCACAGATAAGATAATGGTCTTTTATTTCTACAAGGAGGGCTGGTCAGGGAGAAGAGATGGTGTTTGATCTGGACCTTGAAGCATAAGTTGGAATTTGCAAGATGGATGAGGTAGGGAATGGTGTTCCATATTGAAGGATGAGTGGAAAGGGAACAACATAGACCATTTGTCTCACTCTGTTACCCCAAAACTCTAATTCAAGCAATGCTTATTATCTGTTTTGTCTCTCATTATAGGGCACTTGAATTGGCTGTAAAATATAAAACACACGTTGATACAGTTCTTGCTTACCGGCAAAAGTTTTTGGAGACATTTGGTAAACAGGAAACTAATAAACGGTATTTGCAGTATGCAGAAGGTGTAAGTATTATACAGTATTTTACGATAATGTATATGCTTTGTAAGTATATATAATATTCATCTTAATAAGACAAAATTGGAATAATTCATACCATAATCTCAAAATCACTTTTTGCCTTATGATATTATAGTCTTATTTTGACTATATAATTATATTACTGATTTTTTTCTGGAATCTTAAAGCCATGTTTTGATGAACTCAAATCTGTTTTCGTATTTAATTTGTATTAAGGTTGGGTGCTAATTGATATTTTTAGATAAACAATATAAATGGCTGGGATAAAGGTTTCTAACTCCTAAATTTTGTCTTCTACCAGCTGCCCCTTCTGCTCCAGGGGAAATATATAAGCACAGAGGGCATTGGCCAGAAAATGGATACTTTGTCACTTTGCAAAATTCTAGGGAGCTAGTTTGCACCTAGAGTGGAGCCTAGCCCAGGTAGACTTCACTGTCTAGAACCAAAGAAGGCTAAACCATTGCGTCTCAAATCCCTACCAGAATCTCAGGTTTCATCACTATAATTAGAAGAAAGTCATTCCAGTATGTATCAGCCCATGTGCATTTTGCCCAAGTGCCTAGAGCAGGACTATTGTAGCTACCTGCTTAGATCCATCTAGGCTCAGGCTACAGAAAGAGAGTTCACCTCTAGCCATGCAGACCCAAGAGACTTACAGTCCCAAGACAGGGGCAACCTTCCTCCCACCTCTGTGAACCAGTTGATTTTCTCAGCCTTTTATTCATTTTATTAAAAAAATGTTTATGAGTGCTCACTCTGGGCCAGGTATTATGCTGGATGCTGAGTCAGATATGGCTTCTGTTTTTGTGGAGCTTGTAGACTATGTGGGAGTGCTGCTCCTTGGAGATGGAATAAAATGGAATGTTCTGACCTGTCCTAAAGGGCAGAGTAAATTAGAGGAACCTTAGGAAGAGGAAAGAAGGTACCTACAATTTCTACTAAAGCCAACATTATACATTTATCATATGACTTGATAAACTCAGTCTTTCTCCTCTTATGTAGGGAAAAACAGTTCTTCCCTGCTATGAGTCTTTCACCTGTAAGTCTTCTTTACTATTCACACAGAACACTTCACTTCTGGTCACCTAACATGTGGAGGTTTCCCCTCATGCCAACAAGCAGTCTCCAACACCAGCTGTGTGTCCTACAATTTAACTCAGCTCTGATACTGCCTAACTGGAGATAGTATCAGATTCCACAGGTAAAGGGCTCATTCCCACAAGATTGCCCTCACTCCTCATCGGATGCCAGTTACAAGCTCAGATTATCACCTGTGCTTCTGACTGACCAGCTATAGATCTGCAGTCCCAGTAACCCCTGCCTTAGGTTTCAGATGCAAGTCACAAGTCCAGGTTGTTACCTGTACTTCTGACTGACTTGCTATAAGTCAGAGGCTCCCATTCCCCCTTTCTGGTTTGGTTAGTTTGCTAGGGTGGCTCACAGAACTAAGGAAACATTTACTTATGTTTACCAGTTTATTAAGGGATATGATAAAGGGTACAGATGAATAGCCAGATGAAAAGATACTTAGGGCAAGGTCAGGGAAGGTCCTACCCTCAGGAGCTCCTGTCTCTTCAGAGTTGGGGTGTGTTACCCTCCCAGTGTGGATGTGTTCACCAGCCCAGGAGTTCTCTGAACCCTGTACTTTGCTATTTTATCGAGGCTTCATCACATAGGCATGATCAGCCATTAACTCCATTTTCAACCTTTCTTCCTTCCCAAGGGAATGGGGGCAGGACTGAAAATTCCTAGCTTCTAATCATGACTTGGTCTTTCTAGTGATCAGCCCTCATCTGGAAGCCATCCAAGGACTCTCCCAGAGTTGTCTCTTTAGAACAAAAGATGCTTCTATCACTCAGAAAGCCCCGTGTCAGGAACTGAGGTCAAAGACCAAATATTAGAACAAAAGATGTTCCTAGTGCTGTTATCACTTAGGAAACTACAAGAGTTCTAGGAGTTCTTTGCCAGAAACTGGGAGCAGCGACCAATATATGTATTTTCTATTGCCTCACACCATATTTAGAATACTGAGTGTCATGATCTGCAGTTTTGGACTTCAGAACAGCTCTCAAGGTAGTAAAGCCTTTGAAACCATTCTTGGAGTTCTGCAATGCAACTTCAGCATCTAGATCCAGGACAGACACAAGCTGTCTGTTTCTTGGTAGGAAGAAGTGTATTTTACAGATGCTCCACAGACTATTTGTTTCATTTGAAGCTTCACTATTAAAAATGAATCCTCTAGGAGTTTGGGCTATGAGAGCTTGCTCTACTACTGGGACAAACTCAGGGTCCCTGGGACCTCTGAGGCCTACACTCTAATCCACAGAATAGGACAGCAGCCATCACCCCTACAGTGCTAAGCAGCCTAGAGAATCACCAATCACCTGATCTTTTTGTCATGGTTTTGAAAATATGATGATATGTTAAAACTGAGCACCCATGTTAAATTTACTTTATGGCATAATTTTAAGCAGATACATACTACTCTGCTTCCTCTTCATCATCCTTGCCATCAATATATTTTTCAGTATTTTCACATTAGGTGCTTTGGAGGACATAGAAAATATAACTCTTCCCCACAAATTTATAATTATTGTAATTTATATTATAATTATTACATCATTATAATTAAAATTGTATTTTAGATAGTAAAAATTTAACATTTTTATCTTCTTTCTTATTATCTATGTATTCAACTGTTAACCAAAATGTAATACTTCAATCACAAGAGTGGCAGAAATTTTCAGAGATTTTTTTAATCCTGAAACTATATAGGTTACTTTGACTCCCTATGGTCCTACATTCTAGTATCCTTTTTTTTTCCTCATAAATGTAATTTGGAAGCTAACTAGAAATTATAAAGCAGTATTTTAAGATGAAAATTATTTTTTACTCAAAAATTTCCCACTATTTATCTACCTTAGCCAAAATTTTGATTATATAAACATTTTATTTGCTAAGTGTTAAGAGAGCATTTTTAAAAACTAAGAAATTTATTCTAGATACCTAGTGAATTCTGGTGGGTTCATAGTACATAATGTGGAAGCTTATATGAAGTCAAAAGTTTCATATATGTTTGTATTCATGAGCCCTGAAATGTTATTTGGGCATTTCTAGTTTAAAATATGGAAACCTGGGATTTATACAAGGTGGACTGTCTTCTAAGATCCCAACTAGAGTCATTGTACCTGGTCTACAACAGTAAATATTTGTAAAATAATTTGTAAGTCGGCCAATAAAATTCACTTGAGGAATATACAATCTACCAAATATATTGTGTACAAGAAGAAAAGTAGAAGAACCAAGAAATGTTTAAAACATTATTCTAGGAGAAAGAAAACAGTGGAAATATAAACAAACCAACAGCTTGGGAACAGACTTTCAGAAAGTATAGAATTTTGAAGAAGATGCAGAAGAGCCAGCACTCTAGTTCAGACAAACCATGTTAGGCATAGCTACTACCTGAGCTCTTTTGCAGGTTTTAAGGCCTTGTAATCTTATGATTATATATCTATATATGTATCTATCTATATCTATATCTATATCTATATCTATATCTATATCTATATCTATATCTGTATCTATATCTGTATCTATATATGTATCTATATATGTATCTACATATATATCTATGTATCTATCTATATGTCTCTACATATATATCTACATATATATCTATATATGTATCTACATATATAGGTATCTACATCTATATCTATTATGTATCTACATATATACTGGTAGGTGATAGTGCATCTGGTAGGTAGTTACTTATTCATTCAATATTTATTGAGTACTTTCTGCAGACAATGTACTCCCCTTCTATTTCAAATAGAAAAGTAAATATGGCAGACACTGACCCCAGCTTTATGAAGCTTGTATTCAGTGGAAGCTATAGTTAATTATACAGTTGTTAATTTCAATTGTGATCATTGGCTTGAAGATGCTATAAAACTTGATGGGTGGGGTTGCCTCAGTTGGTCAAGCATCTGACTTCAGCTCGGGTCATGATCTCGCAGTTCAGAAGTTCAAGCCCCACATCAAGCTGTCTGTTGTCAGTGTGAAGTCTGCTTCAGATCCTTTGTTCCCCCCTCTCTCTGCTCACTCCCCGCTCACGTTCTCTCTCTCAAAAATAATAAATAAACATTAAAAAAAAACTTGATGTGTAGGGAACCTGATCTAGAGTGGTGGGGATTAGCAAAGACTTTCTAAGCAAGGCAAACAATATTTGAGCTGAACTCTAAAGAATAAATAGTAGAAGCTGACTGGATTTGGGGTGGGAGAGGAAGTGGGGGTGGGCATGTTCCAGGCAGAGAGAAAGCTCTTAAATGGGAAACAGTAAAGAACAAAAGGGAGATTAACTTGAGGGTTTCATAGGGCAAATTAAGGATTTTGGACTCTATGCTAAGACATATGTGAAGTCATTAAAAGGAGGTAACATGATTGCTTTTCCCTTTTAAAATCCTGATTCCTCAAAATAAATGGAAACTAAAGAGTTTTCCACAAAATTATCTTGAGTAGGGTTTTATCAGTGTTAAAGGATATATATGATAATAAGACCAAATGTGTGAGGTCTTGAAAGAATGAGAAGGAGTCCCTAGTAACTGCTCTGGATCCTGGGTACTGAGTAGTTGGAATATTGGTTGGGAACAGACATTGGAGGGTCTTAATACCATGTTAAGAGAATAGACTTCATAATGCAGGCAATGGGAAGGCTTGGAGGTTTGCAATCAAGAGAATGATTTGAAAGATACCTTTTGGTGTAGAAGATGGATCAGAGGTAAGGGTGGTGACTAGGAGATCAGTTAGGAGATTACTATAATAGTTTCACCAGGAGATGGTTGGGGTGGTAGTTAGGTTGGTTAGGCAAGACATTTGAGAACAACTTCAACATTTCTGGTGTGGTTGACTGGTAGATGGAGAGGGATGCCATTAATCTAGATAAGGAACAGTGAGAATATACAAGTTTTAGACCTTTTGAGTTTGAATACATGAAAATATACATTTTTTTTTGTTTGAAGTCCCTGTGGGATATCCAGATGGAGATATCTAATAGGCAATTGGAAATATAATTGTGAACATTGAAGGATACTGACAAAGAGGAATCAGGGCATGATAAATAAATTTATGGTCATGACCATGTAGGCATAGTTGAAAGTATGAAAGTTGATGTCATCTCCTAGGAAAGTATAAAAAAGTTGTGGTTGGAATCCTGGTGAATACAAATACTAACAGCTAAGAGGTTACCTAGGGAGGGGTACCTGGGTGGCTCAGTTGGTTGAGCGTCCAACTCTTGATTATGGCTCGTCCCCTCCATGCTGAGAGTGGAGCCTGCTTGAAATTCTCTCTCTCTCCCTCTGTCCCTCACCCTCTACCCTTCTCCCCCACTCACATGCACACATGCTCTCTCTCTCAAATAAATTTTTTAAAAATTAAGTAAAACAAAGTATAAATTACTTAAAAAAAAAAGAGGTTGTCTAGGGAAAAGAAACAGGAGGAAAAAAAGACTGAGAACATTGAGAAAGGAGAGCACAAACCAGAAGAGAATGGTATTATATAGTCAGAGATTTTTCAAAGAACTTTGGTCAGCAAGATCTAGGGAATGCTTCTACATCAGGACCTTTTCCTTCCTTTTGTCAGTGTGCTCTTCCTCAGATATTCCCATGGACTCACTAATCTCCTTTAGGTCTTCACGTCAAATTCTCAGGGACATCTTTTCCTACCACTCTGTTTAAAATACAACACCCCCTTCCCCCAACTCCACTCCTGGCACTCAGTATTTCCTTTCCCTGTTTCCAAAACTCTTACCACTTCTCACATTTTATATATTTTTAGGGGCACCTGAGTGGTTCAGTCAGTTAAGCCCCCAACTTCAGCTCAGGTCGTGATCTCGCGGTTTGTGAGTTCAAGCCCCACGTCAGGCTTTTAAAGGGGCGCCTGGGGGGCTCAGTTGGTTGAGCATGTGACTTCAGCTCAGGTCCTGATCTCATGGTTCATGAGTTTGAGCCCCGCGTCGGGCTGTGTGCTGACAGCTCAGAGCCTGGAGCCTGCTTCCAATTCTGTGTCTCCCTCTCTCTCTCTGCCCCTCCCCTGCTCACACTCTGTCTCCGTCTCTTTCAAAAATAAATGAACATTAAAAAAATTAAAAAAAGAATGCAACACCCCCTTCCCCCAACTCCACCCCTGGCACTCAGTATTTCCTTTCGCTGTTTCCAAAACTCTTACCACTTCTCACATTTTATATATTTTTATATCTTCCACTATTATTTGTCTTTGCTTATCTTTCTATGAAGACTGATTTTTATCAATTAATTCACTGCTGAAGCCTTGCACCTAGAACAATCCTTGGCGTATAGTAAGCACTAAATACTTATTGAATGAGTAATCGAATCATATGTAGGATGAGGAATGAAAACACTTGATGGTGGCTTTAGTGAAAAGTTCATGAAGTGTGGTAGGAGCACAGTCACATTATCGTGTTCTGAGGACAAAATGAGAGTCAGGAATGAGAAGAAGAACGAGGGTGGTAGTTTGCAGGGAGACAGAATTGAGGGGGAAGGATGATGAGCAGCAGCCAGTGTAGCAAGGAAATTGAAAATGTGAGTAATATAACTGAAGGCAGATGTCCCAGGGGAGTGGAAGAAGATGGGATCAGGGATGTATGTGACGAGGTCGGCCTGAGACAGAAGGGAAAGAGAGATGAATACAAATGTAGGTAAATTTGTGTGAAGAAGGAGATTAAGCAAATTCATGTCTGATGACCACTGTATTCTCTGGAAAGCCATTTGGTATGATTTTGAAATTACTTCTATGTGAATAAGAAGAATTTACCAGGGACTAGAATAAGAAGTGCCAAATAGTACTAACACACCCTATAATAGGAAAAGATGTGTCTTGGTGTAGAGATCAGTCACTTGAAAGCTGTCATGATGAGTACATCCTTATCTAAAACCCACTAGTAAAAGTATTCTAGTCCAAGAACTAAATTAGCAGTAGAACACTGTTCTAAAACTGGATAAATGCCAAAGTGAAAGTGAAGCATTCATTTTCAATAGGATAACTATCAACTGGCTCCCTCATTTGTACTCTAACAAGTGATAGAATAGATGGCATCAATTTACTTGATGGACTTCTGGTACAACAGAGCAACAGTTGCTCAGTGTACGGTCAATATATGGTTTTATTGTGATTGATCTGAGAAACATATGTAAGTCAATTTAAGGCTGGAAGAAGGCCAAGGCATTTATCAAGTTTTGTCTTTCTCTTTGCAAATGTTTTGTTAGACATAGAGTGTTTTGCCATTTAAAAATATCAAGTTCTGGCCTGATTGAAAATGGGTCTTTCAAATAGTCTTAACATTTGCTCTGCCTTTCAGTGAGCGGTCACTTGCATCTTACCACAGACATTCATCTTCTATGAGTGAGAGGGATTCTTTTAATTCATCCATTTTATATATTATTAGACTAGTATATGGAATTATCTCTTTTTTAAAGTGGCCAAAATATCCACAAATTACCATGCAGAAATTTAGATGAAAGATATTGAAATAAAAAAGAACCAATACTTTATCAACTTCCAGCATAAAAGAGGCACAAAGCCCTGATAAGGTTAAACTTATCTCCCAGTTACTTAAAATAAATCTGCTCAGGCAGCAAGTAGTACCTAAGTCTGGTTTAATGCTACTTATTTCACTCAACTCCCCTATATGAAGATGAAAACCTATTCACTTTTGGCTCAGTCTCAGGGGTTGGGGCTTATTTCATTGTAAATCGGAATTAGGTTAATCTAGGACCCAATTTTTCTGTACCTTGCCTGGGACAGCACACATTCCTAAAGTAGTCATCTCCAAATTTTTCTAAACAATAGAATGCTTTTTCCTAAAGAAATTGTTCACAGATGTCAGGGCAGAGTCCAAAGCTAACAGCAAGTATAATCAGCTTAGGGGAAAGGCAGGGTAGAAGGCATGTCTGGAAAAATGGCCCCATGTCAGTGGGGCATGTGACTTGATCTCCCAGTTTTGAGTCTGAGCCCCACGTTGGGCATAGAGATTAAAAAAAATGGAAACATAAAAATGGTACTTTTCAGTGATTGTTTTTACATGTCCCCCAGCCTTGATTATGCACTGCACTTTCTTTAATATCTTTTTGTTGTTGTCTAAACCATCACCATGTCTGTATTACTTTAATAGTTGTTGTAAAGGAGTCCCTTTTTCAGAGTATGCTCAGGAGAAGCAAACGCTCCCCTATTCTTACTCATACCTAGGCTCTAATGGAAACCTCAGTGAAAAAAAAAAAGGTAAAATGCTAACCCATTTGAAACATGGCCTCATGGCTAGGGCCCTGTCCTTTTTTCCTCTTGTTTGGAGGAGAACAGTCCACCTTCTCCCCCTGTCCCTGAGGCACCTATGCAGAATCTGAAGGCTCCATGAGACTATTTAGATGTAGTTTTATCAACAGCTACAACTAGATTTTGGTGTTTTGAATCATGATGAGAATCTTTCCTTTTAATTGTGGTAATTGTTTTGTTTGGTCTTATTCTTAAAGGTATTTTTTATTTAAGCATTATTTCTTTTTTTTTTAACATTTGTTTATTTTTGAAAGACAGAGAGAGACAGAGAGTGAGTGGGAGAAGGGGAGAGAGAGGGAGGGAGACACAGAATCTGAAGCAGGCTCCAGGCTCTGAGCTGTCAGCACAGAGCCCGATGCGGGGCTCGAACCCACGAACCTGGAAACCATGACCTGCGCCGAAGTCGGATGCTTAACCAACTGAGCCATCCAGGCGCCCCTTAACTTGTCTTTCATGCTCTCTTTTTTCTCTAGTGATTTAGAAGCCATCATTCTATTTTTTGTTTACTCTTGGTTACCTTGGATCAAGCAAAACTGTGTTATACTATATCAGTATTTTTCTTCTTTTCTTCTTTTGCAGCTCCAAATAGATTGGGAGAAAATCAAAGCCAAAATTGAGATGGAAATTACCAAAGAACGAGAGCAATCATCAAGCAGCCAGTCCAGCAAGCATATAGGTCTAAAGCACTAATCCTTGCTTACCATTAAGAAATTTTACCTTTTGAAACATTCTGATTAACCAAGGATAATTGTATTTTTATTGCTAAAGAAAAAGGCAGAATCTTTAAGTATAAGTACTTGCTGTGTATTTGCCACTAAAAATACATTCAGAAAGACTAAGCACAAAATAATTGATGCAGTTTCATCTTTTATATAGTTTAGTCCAATAATTAGCAAAATATTCTCATATACTTATGATACACCTATGTAGTATTGCTTACATTCCAGTTTTTGTCCATTATTTTATCCCTGAATCATCAGCATGAACAAATATTAATGCTCATAATAAAACATTGGACCCTTTAAAATGTATGATAGCATTAATTTTTATTTGACCACTAAATCATAAGATGTTCCAAAAGTTTACTTATGCAACAAAAATACATGAGGATGGATTTATGAAAATGTATAACAGTACATGCATTTGTACATCAGTATTCATAGGATTATTAACAGTAGCAAAAAGGACAAAAAAAAGATGTCTATCAACAGATGAACGGATAAACAAAATATGGTATATACATACAGTGGAATATTATTCAGCCTTTAAAGGGAAAGGAATTTTGATGCATGCTACAACATGGATGAACCTTGAAAATAATGCTAACTGAAATAACCCAGACTACTGAATGATCCCACTTATATGAGGTACCTAAAATAGGGAAGTTCGTTGAGACAGAAAGGAGAATAGTGGTTGCCAGGCATTGGAGGGAGGTGGATATGGGGCATTCTTGTTTAATGAGTACAGAATTCCTGTTTGGGATGAATGAGTTCTGGAAATGGACAGTGGCGATTATCGCACAGCATTGTGAATATACTTAATGCCACCGAATGGTACAGTTAAAAATGGTTAAAATGGTAAGTTATATATATATCTGCACCATAATTTTAGAAATATATCTAGAATGGACAAGAAATATTTTTCTCATTACTCTCCTGACTTGAGAATGTTCACTCACTAGGGTCCTGGAGTCTGAATTTGTGACAATCTCCTTAAATGATAAACCTGTTTGACTACTTTCAGTATGTCCTAAAATATTGCCACAGAAGCTTTTGAACATGAACCCAAATACTCCTTAGAAAGTCCTCCATAATGTAAATTTTGGAGAGGCATATTATAGAGTGGGTATACGCATATTCACTGGAAAATGATTACCTCTCTCATTTTCATTTTAATTAATGTATATTTATTTTATGAAAATGTTCTTGTCTTTTCAACATATTTCTTTTCTTTTCTGGAATGTTGAAATATTCTGTTCAGATGCTGGGTACAAGAGTGAGTTTAGTTTGTGAAATATGATTGAGCAGTTTACTTATAAGTTGTACTTATTTATTAATGTTTTCTATATAATGTTATATTTCAATAAACAGTTTAAAAAGAAAAAATGATTAAAAGGGTAAATTTTATATCATATTTATTTTACTACAGTTTTAATAGTTAAAAAATATTATGAAAAATGTCTGCATTCTAACAATTCGGATACTAACAAGGTGTTCTACAATTCAATTCTGATACTACCCAGAGTTAGTGTCAGGTCCCACAAGTTAGAGGACAGCATTCCCAATTAGACTGTTCTTATTTCAATTGTCAGCCACATGCGGGGACCCCAGGATACCCACACTTCTGAGTTGGCAGCAAATTTGGGGGTTTCTACCATGCCCCCTTTGGGCTTGGTACTTCGAATGACTCACTGAAATGCTTTACTTTTAATTATAGTTTTATTATAAAAGATATAACTCAGGAGCAGCCAAGCAGAAGAGATGCATAAAGTCTAGGAGAAAAGTGAGGTCTGGGAGGGGTGGGGGATGGGGTTGGGGCATAGAGTTTTTCATTATGCCTTCTCTTTGTAGAGAGAAGAGAATCTAGGACCGTCATCCTCCCAGAACATTGATGTGTTCACCAATCGGGAAGCTCTTGTAGGACTTGCTGTTCTGGATTTCTTATCAGGGTTTTATTACATACGTGCAATTACTTAAATCACTGCCCATGTGATTGAAATCTTCCTCTCCCTGGAGGTCAGGTGGTTGAAAGTTTTAGCACTCTAACTATGTGGTTTTTCTGCTGACCGGTCCTCATCCTGAAGCTATCTAGCTTCCATAACACAGACATACAAAGACACACACACACACACACACACACACACACACACACACACAGTCACCTAATTAGCATAAAAAAGGTGCTCCTATCACTCAGGAAATTCCAAAGATTTTGAAAGCTCTGTACCACCCACCCCCTACACACCCCACCTCAGACCAGATATATTCAGACCATCCCCTGCTCTTTGACCATAGGATCTTCTATGGCAAAGGTACATACCTAACTGAGCAAAAAAAATGTAGCAACATTTAGAGGAATCAATGTGGGGTAAGGATAGGGAGCTATTGATCAAGTTCCCAGTATGGTTATCTGTATCAGTATTATCTTCCCAACAATCCAAGTGGGTTATAGCATATCACATTATGATAGACATAAACTGAAAAATAAGAGCCAAAAGATTCTGGCACATTACTAGAATCCCATGCAGTCTCTAATAATTAGTCCAATAATCATCATATACAATGATCATAATGTCTCTCAGAGTGAGGGCACTTAGGTTTACAGGCTTCATTCCATGTGGTCTTGTCAAGTTCCAAAAGTAGGAGTGGTCTCAGCTTCACACTTTCAGGCGTTTGTTATAATTGAGTTAAGAGACAATATCTCTTGCTCTGAGCTTCTTTCCAAGCATTAATATTAGAAACACATTTTATTCACACTGCACAACACATTTATTCATACCTTTATTCTTAGCCACTATTCCTCCTCTCCATTTATACCCAAACCTTTTCACCTTTGAAAGGGACCTTAGGTTCAGCTAGACAATACAAGTCTAGCAAAGGCCTCCCCTGTAGTCTACTCCCATTCATATAGGGTAGGGTTATACAGGTACAGGACTAGTGGGCTATTTCTACCAATAGGCAATATAACTGGATTCATTAGCCCCAATGTTGCCAGATAGAGTGAAAGGACAGCTCACCCATCAGGCCCTTGGGAATTCTGATATAAATATTTTTAAACAATTTGTTCCTTAGGAATCATTCCTGCTTCCAGCAATATAGTTGCAGCCTTGGCCCAGGGACCACTGTATGAGGTAGGAAAAGGAAAGTTAAGTGTGATAATGGGAAAGGAAAAAAAAAGTATAGTTGTCATACCAGCATCCTCCCCCTATCTCCCCCTTCCCCATTTGGACAACCAGTGTTTCAATTGCCTGTTCTAATACTTTACCAAAGTATTACTCTGAGGAAGATACCGTCGTCCTCCCTTATCTGCGGTGTTGATTTCCAGTTTTAGCTAACCATGGTCAACTATGGTCCAGAAGCAGGTATTCCTCCTTCTGACCTACTGTCAGGTCAATAGTAGCCTAACACTAATGTCACAATGCCTATGTCATTCACCTCACTTTATCTCATCATGGAGGCGTTTTATCATCTCACATTATCACAAGAAGAAGGGTGAGTACAGCACAATAAGATGTTTGAGAGAGAGAGAGAGAGACCACATTCACATAACTTTTATTATAGTGTATTCTTATAATTCTATTTCCTTAGTAGTTATTGTTAATCCCTTACTGTGCTTCATTTATAAATTAAACTTTATCATAGGGATGTAGGTATAGGAAAGAACATAGTATATTTAGGGTTTGGTACTTATCACACTTTCAGGTATGCATTGAGGGTCTCAGAACATACCCCTGCGGATAAAGGCAGACTACTATATCTCTCTGCCTATTGTTGGATATGATGGACTGTAAAGTGTGTTCCTTGGTCTGAAGAAATGTGATTCAGTGGTCCAAATCTGTGCAATATCTTCCGCTCCACTTCTTTTATAGTACTCTGAGCATTTGCATCTACCACTGGGTCAGCAAAGCACAACCCAGAGTCAGTGTCTATTTCTGTCAGGACCCACTTGTAGCCCTCCAGGGTTACAGGCATCAGTCTGATCAGTGTGACT